GTAACCATAAAACCAGGAAAGTGAATAATTCTAACAAGATTTCTTGTTTTTTGTTTAATTTTATTCCACCAGTCTTATTATTATTATTATTATTATTATTTTTACAACAATAGCAATAAATAAATGCAATGATGTCATAAAATCACCAGGATAAAAAAGACTTGCATTACTGTTGAACCAGCCTTCATTATAGTAGACCTGAGGGAGGGCCATTTGGAACGCAAGCCATGATTATACAGTAAGTGAATGCAAACTGTAATCCACCATCTTTCATGCAATTCCAGATCTCTAGGCTATAGGCTATAAGTGCATGCTGGGAGAAGCACAGAGCAAAGTTATATTTCTAAGATAGCTGCTGGGATGGAGTAAATAAAACTAGTCTGCATTACACACTGCAATGGATATTCCAACCCTGAGCCCCGGCCTGCTCTGCTCTTGCTGATCAAAAACCTTTTTGTGTTCTGCCTAACCAATGGCTGTGCTGTGAAGGCGGTTCAGGAGGAGAGTCAAAGGCTTCTTCCGAAAATACTACTACTATAATTGATTAAACCAGATTCAAGTAACATGCATTGTGATGCTGAAACTTGAAGCAGCAGCCGTGACACAATCAATCGGAAATGGATAGCTCATGGTGCTGAAAGTAGGCAAATTCGACTACGCATGATTCATTCATTCATTTCATTTCAACCGTCTTCACTTTAATTAGACTTTACTAACAACGAGAGGGCATTGTGTTGGATCATATTTAAGAAATAAGTGGTAGGACTAGCTGTTTGAGAGATGAAATTAGGCTATAGGCTGCCATATCCATAGATTTGTCAGCTAGTTCCTCCAACCACCATGCACTCTTTAAATAGCCTAACTCCGTGGCAGTGATGGGCTGTTAAGTTAAAACCAGGACTCGAATTAAGGGGTTATGAGAGGGTATGCCCTTGGCCTACCTTTTATTGAAGAAAATTACAAAAAGCACAGGCCTACCCCTTGTTAGCTTAAGATTTAGAAGAAAATAAAACAGATCCGATTTATATAAAGTGATCTATAACAGCGCTTTGGTCCGCGATGCTTTATGCTACAAATGGTAAAATACCCGGTAAAGATGTGACTCCAATGCATATAGTATATATCAAAATACTTTGCTTGTGAAGTAATCTAATTCTGTCACTATCAACTGATTAAGCTATTCACTGTACATTAGAAGATGTTTAAATCCAGAAAGCTTTTAGGGAAACACTTGTGACCTTCTCTCGTTGGGTTAAGCCATGGAGGAAGCGTAGCCAGCAGTTAAAGCTTACATTTTTCTGTGTCGGTAGGCCTACTCTGTCTTTTGAAGGTACCATGCTCAGATTCCTAATGACAAGACTCAGTGATTTGGCATTGGAAAAATATAATAAGATAAACACATAGGCATATCTCTCTGTCCATTCTTAGCCTGTAATTTTGGTAAATTTTGTGGTATTAAAAAAATATTCTGCTAATATGTAAAATAACGTAGAATTGCATGACATTTTTATAAAATGCAATTTTTTTCTCAGGCCTCCAAATACATGTATTGATTCATGCAATGCTTTTACTATAAAGGAGATATTTCCACCCCTATTCTTGTCCACAGTGGTCTGTGAACCCACAACCTTCTGGCCCACAGCGTTTTCCCCCTTGGGTTTTGTCTCTCTCTGCGCTATCAAAATTCCTGTGTTGCCATGTAATGCTTACAGGATGAAGAACAGTTTCTAAAACTGCATATCTAAGGCTCTGGTCTGTCCTAGGAGTGAGGGTAAACGGTAGGCATATTCTCTGCTATCCACTTTCTGTTTTAATTATTATTTTAGGTATAGGGGAGAGTCACTTTTTTTTTTTTTTTAAGCGTTCAGGGAGGATTTAGGTCAAATATATTTTGCTGAAGGGAGGGCCATCTATTTTCATTTCAGAGAGGTCCGATTTTCTCCATGTAACCCGTATTATAAATAACGTTCACTCCCTTACCGTTCTGTTAGTGAGTCTTTGGACTGTTATGAAGAAGATGTTTAACCGTCACATGTTATGGACATGTTTCTGCCATTGAGCCTTCATCAAACCCCAACGGAGTCAAACTACAGGGGTAAATATGCATACCAGTAATCATGTTTGACATTAGATTACAATCAGAGTTGTTGATATCCAACTGTAATGTCTTGTTATTGTACCAGCTCCTCATTGAAGGCCTGAATGTCTGGACCTGGCTGCTCCACTGACCCCTGCTCATAGTCAGTTGGTTTGTGGGAAACAACCAATTGGATAACAAGGCACTGTGGGACATTCCAGGACAGGGGCAGGACCATCCTCCACAGGACATGTTTTTCATCAAACTCAGATCTGATAATTATTCACGTGTTGGACCTTGTTGTTTTGCTAATCCAAAGAATTGTCCATCTTTTGCCAGGGGCCAGGGGTCAGGGGTCAGGGGCCAGCGGTCAGGGGCCAGGGGTCAGGGGCCAGGGCCAAAGAAGTGTATGTTCTTGTTTAAAAAAAATGCTTTTTACATTTCATTTTGTCACAATCACTTAGTGCAACAGCAACTAAATTGATTTGGAAACAACATAACTAAAAACAATGTTATAGTCCTCTTCACCAATGGGACTGTCATAAGGTACAGTAATGACTGATTTCATAATAACACAGCTGTTTTCGTAGTAACATGACTGATTTCATAATAACGCAACTTTCATAATAACCTGACTGATTTCATAATAACACGACGGATTTAATAATAACACGACTGATTTCACAATAACACGACTGATTTCATAATAACACGACTGATTTCATAATAACACGACTGATTTCGTAGTAACATGACTGATTTCATAATAACATGACTGATTTTATAATAACACAACTGATTTCATAATAACCTAACTGATTTCATAATAACCTGACTGATTTCATAATAACCTGACTGATTTCATAATAATATGACTGATTTCATAATAACATGACTGATTTCATAATAACATGACTGTGTTTCTGCTCTGTTTATGATTTAGCACTGAGGCTAGAAATAGTAACTAACAGTCAGTCTGCACTGTGGACAGGTTGACCTACTGTACACCTCATCCTACTATTATTGTAAATCATATCCTACTTCATGTACTGTAGGTATTATTGTAAATCTCACCCTACTTCATGTTCTGTAGGTATTATTAGATAGTAGCATTTTCACAGAAAATCATAGAGCAACTGTCAGGATATTGAAATGTGATGGCAAAGTAACAACAATCATTTTCTATGTTTGACAGCCAGGTATTTCATCAAAGTATGCCATGCAAAAGCCATTACATTAACATGCAGAATATTCACTGAAATCAGAGTGAAATCACCAGTATCCAGATTTAAAACAAACAGTATTATTTCAACCTAGATAGAAAGCATATCTGTATTTACTGCAATATGAAATCGTTTTTTTTTTTTTTTTCACACTGCGAACATTGTTTAGTTGAATCAAAGCATGCTGTGCAAGAGAGAGATCATTGTGTTTGACCTATCCCAGATACCTGGCTAGTGGTTTTGACTGAATAGGGCCTGAAGTTGTGTCTAAGTGGGGGCTAGTTGGGTTTCCCATACTGTGCTGATTCAACAATCTGGCAGATAAGATATTGTGTCACTGTAGATTATCTACTCACTGTATCATCACAACTCCATTCCTTGATTTAGCTCTAACCTAAACAGCACTCACACCACATTGGTGGAACCTATTTTAAGTTAAAAACAAAAATGTAAAAGGACTCAAATGCTGTAAATTGCGGTTTCATTTGAATGTTATACAACTGAAATGTTTTGTTTATGCTGGCGCAGGTTTGAAGAGGACAATGCCAAGCAACAGGATGGAAAATGTCAGCGGAGGCCAGACAGACAGGATATCAAGACTTTCTTTCCAGATTGGAGTATAAATCCAGTGTGCTTTCCAAATGGCACCCTATTCCCTATTTAGTGCACTACTTTTGACCAGGGCCTATAGGGTTCTGGCTGAAAGTAGTGCACTATGTAGGGAATAGGGTGCCATTTGGGACGCACACCCAGAGTGGAGGGTGAGGAGTGATATCTGGGTGTTTCACCCAACAGTCAGAAAACTGCAGCGTAATCTTTCCTGTGCAGACAGAAAACGAGGTGGGAGCTACAATTCCAGGATGTTTTGTCTGGTTTTACGTTTGTCTTTGATCTTTAGTGAAAGTTTAATCACAGATCAGAATGAAGTTAAAGAACAAAACTAAACTGCCAAAAAACAAGATTGTCTGGAGACATTCTGCACTGTTCTGTTGAGGCCCTTTGCTTCACCATTCAACTACAAGGAAGAAGTCAGTCAATCACAGATGTATTGTCTCATGTAATTGCTCCATCATTCTGTTCTCTCAGAGTAAACACACCTCACTGGGCACAGATATCAATTCAACGTCTATTCCACGTTGGTTCAAAACAGTGGTGGGCCCGAGGGGTACTGGATGCTCTTCGCTCTCTAGCTAGACCGACGGGCCGAAGGGGGGAGAGCCCGAGCGAGAGGGGAGAGGGGAGGAGCGGCGAGAGGGAGCGAGGAGAGGAGGAGAGGAGAGAGCGGGGGAGAAGG